CTTCCTTTGGTTATCCAAGATGTGTTTTTTGTCCCAGGCTTGAAAACAAACTTGCTCAGTGTGGGGCAATTGCAAGAAAAGAACCTATCCTTCTTAATTAAGGATGGCCACTGCAAAATATTCCATGAAGATAAAGGTTTACTTCTGCAGACCTCAATGAAGACAAACAGGATGTTTGTTCTTCATGCTAAGCAAGCCACACAGCTGGAAACTGGAAATCTGCAGTGTCTGCAGACAAAGACAGTGAAGGACGACACCCTTACTCTCTGGCATAGGAGGTTTGGCCATCTGAATGCTAGAAGCTTGCTGGAAATACAAAGGAAAGGGGCTGTCAGTGGAGTTCCTAAGCTCACAGGAGATCTAGGTGTGTGTTCAACCTGTCTAGTGGGCAAACAACACAGACACAGTTTTCCCAAGAAAAGCAGTTGGAGAGCAAGTCAGAAACTGCAATTAATACATGCTGATCTTTGTGGTCCAATCACTCCCACTTCCAATGGAGGCAAGAGGTATATCCTAACTATTACTGATGATCTAAGTAGAAAGTTGTGGGTTTACTTCTTGTCTGCAAAATCTGAAGCTTTGGGTTGTTTTAAGAAGTTTAAAGCACAAGTTGAAAATGAGACTGGACACAAAATTGTATGTCTTAGAACTGACAGGGGAGGAGAATTCTTGCTCAAAGAATTCCAGCAACTTTGTGAAGAGAATGGTATCAAGAGGCAACTTACTGCTGCTCTCACACCTCAGCAGAACGGTGTGGCTGAGAGGAAGAACAAATCTATCATGAATTTAGTAAGGTGTTCTCTAGACGATACAAAGGTGCCTGCTGCTTTCTGGCCTGAAGCTGTGGCCTGGACAGCTCATATTCTGAACAGAAGTCCAACATCAGCAAATGACGGAAAAACACCACATGAGATTTGGACTGGATCACCCCCTTCAGTGGATCATCTCAAAGTGTTTGGTTGTGTTGGTTATGTACATGTACATGATCATTTGAGGAAGAAATTGGATGGGAAGAGTATTAAATGCCAGTTCCTTGGCATTTCAACATAATCAAAGGCATACAAGTTGTATGATCCTGCTACAAAAAAGGTGCTGGTAAGCAGAGATGTTACCTTTGATGAAAGTGAAGGGTGGCAATGGGAGTCTGATACTCATTCTGTATTGACCAAACTCATTTGGGAGGGAAGTGATGGCTTTTGGGAAGACTCAGATGCTGAAGAAGAGTCTGTGGCAGCAGAGTTTCAAGATGAGGAAGAAGCAGATCCCCCAAGTCCAGCAACACCTGTGATTACTGGAACTTCTGCTACTACTTCTTCTTCTGCAAGTCAAGAAGATTCAGGTTCACATACTGATAGCTTGGGACTTCCCAGTGGTGGATTGGCTCCTAGAAGCAGACATCCTCCATCTCATCTCTCAATTTATGACTGTAACTTTGGTGATACAGACTGGTGGGCAATGGTGGCTGTAAGTGATGATCCACAGACCTATGAAGAAGCTGCTGCAGATGAGAAATGGAATGAAGCCATGAGGAAAGAGATTGAGGCTATTATAAAGAACAACACATGGATACTAACAACTCTACCTGCAGGAGTAACTCCAATAGGAGTTAAGTGGGTCTTCAGAACCAAACTTAAAGAAGATGGATCAGTGGATAAATTTAAGGCAAGGCTGGTGGCAAAGGGATACTCACAGAGGCATGGCATTGATTACACAGAAGTTTTTGCTCCAGTTGTCAGATGGGATACAATAAGGACTCTTCTTGCTCTTGCTGCCCATCATGGTCTTCCCGTATTCCAGCTTGATGTCAAGAGTGCCTTCTTGCATGGGGAGCTGACTGAGGATGTGTACATTGAACAACCACCGGGATTTGTCATTCCTGGGGAGGAACAGAAGGTTTATAAGCTCCAAAAGGCCCTCTATGGTCTGAAACAGGCTCCACGAGCCTGGTACAGTAGGATAGAGGCTTACTTTCTCAAGACTGGGTTCATCAGATGTGATTATGAGCATACTTTGTTCATAAAAACAACCGAGGCTGGTTTTCTGCTAGTAAGTCTATATGTTGATGATCTCATGTACACCAGCAACAATCCTACCTTGATTGAAGAGTTTAAGGAGCTAATGAAGTCTGAATTTGAAATGACAGACTTGGGGAGGATGAAGTACTTTCTTGGGGTTGAGGTTACTCAGTCTAAGTCTGGCATATTCATTAATCAGCAGAAATACATCAAGGAAGTACTGAGCAGGTTCAAGTTGCTTGAATGCAACTTTGTCAAGCATCCCATGGTTCCTGGTATGCAGTTGACAAAGGCTGGGGATGGAGCATTGGTGGATCCTACCGAGTATAAGCAACTAATAGGGAGTCTTCTCTATGTTACTGCTACCAGACCTGACATTATGCACTCAGTCTGTTTGCTTAGCAGGTACATGGAGGCTCCTACAAGACAGCATGTATTGGCAGCCAAGAGAATCTTAAGATACCTCAAGGGACTATGACCTATGGTGTCTGGTACAAGAAAGGAAGCAAAGAAGACTGTCTGGTGGGGTTCACTGATTCTGATTATGCAGGTGACACTGATGACAGGAAGAGTACCAGTGGGTATGTCTTCTTCTTAGCAGGAGGAGCTGTGTCCTGGGCCTCGAAAAAACAACCAGTAGTCACTCTATCGACCACTGAGGCTGAGTTTGTTGCTGCTTCATACAGTGCAACTCAGTGTGTTTGGCTAAGGAATGTGCTGCAGCAAATGGGATGGAGCTCATGTGTGAAGGAAGCAACCAGGGTGATGTGTGATAACAGCTCCACAATTAAGTTATCTAAGAACCCTGTGATGCATGGAAGAAGCAAGCATATCGATGTTCGATTTCATTTTCTAAGGGAGCTGGCAAAGGAAGGAACCATCGAGCTGGAGCACTGTGGAACTGTGGATCAGGTGGCTGATATCATGACCAAACCTCTCAAACTTGATGCATTCCTGTGGTTGAGAAGTAAGCTGGGTGTTTGTGACATTTCTGAGTTTCTCAGTGATGTTTCTAAGCTTGGCCTGAAGGATTGAAGAGTTGCAGTGTGATGAACTGAAGCTTGCAGCTTGCAGCAGAGGCTTCAGTTCAGGGGAGGCTTTGTTGGAGCATGGAATCAAACCAGATTGTTGGAGTCTTGGTGCGCAGAAGTTGAAGTTCAAATAAAGTGTCTCTGGTCATTTATATTTAAGTCATCGAATTGTCAAGTTATATTTATTCAGTCCTTGCAGAGTCTTAGGGAGTCAGTTTCAGTTGTGAGTCGATCATGTGATCATGTTAGCTACTTTGGTGGGTTGTGGGGTTGAGACTTTCAGGGGAGTCGTTGTGTTTGGCCATTGTGAGTCTGTACATATTGGTTTAATCCACCTTGGAATAAAACTTGTCAGTTTAAACCCCATTTTGAGACTACACGGACTTCCCCTGCTCCGCAATCGGCGACCCGCTTGGGAGAAGTAGGTCTGCCACTCTTGCACCCCATGCCGCCCCAATGGATTCTCCATCCTCATCACTATCGCCGTCGGATTCATCGACACCCACTGCTCATCAAGCTATTTGAATCGACTTTGACAACCTCCACCAAAACACTTGCGACGACCTTGCCTCAGGAAGCAAGAGCAACTCGCTAAATCCGAAGCCGCCCTCTCCTCCTAGTCTCAATCCCACTTTCCATGTCATGAGAGAAGGTGACCCAAGTGAGCAGAGCTGTAGATTATCATGAAGGCAAAGTGGGTAGCGGGAAAGTGGGTTAGAAGGGAAAGGAATAACAATCATGGGTTAGAAGGCAAAGTGGGCGACGGGGAAGGAATGGGGGAGTCCATGATACTCTTGCGCAATTTTCTTGCCTTCCAATTTTCATCTTTTACCAATTTCAGCAGCGGCTCATTGGCGGGAGTCCATGATACTCATCGTGCGGTCGTTGGCAGAGGCGAAAACTCGGAGGAGCTAGGAGACAGAAGCATACATCTTGCGGAAGGCGGCGACGGTGACAAAAGTGGAGGAAGATGAAAGGGAGTGGTCAGGTTATTTTTTTAATTTGATTTTGAGAATAAGGAAAATAAAAATTATTCATTAAAATTTTTAATTTAAATAACACGTGGCATCTACGTTAATCTAACTGACAGAGTTTCTAACACCGTTAAAGTTTATAACAGAAATGAATACTATATTTGTCATGAAATTTTCAAAATTCTGGTTATTTTGTGTATTTCTCAAAAAGTTGCTATTATTGTCACAAACGTCAAAGTTTTGGCTATTCATATGTATTTTGCCTTAATATTATGCACTAAATATTAAGATCTATGAAGTTTTGGTATCAAACTGTAATTTGTATCTAAAAATGTTAGTATGTTAGCAGATTAATAGCATTATGTGCCCCTCTACTGTTATAAATTAACAAACGTACTCATGTACTATATTTTTGCACAAACGTATGTACCCTTCTAATATTAATATCACAACGTAACAAAAATACATTTTCGTGAAAAATTCGGTGAAGTGTTCATTAAGTGGGGTGGGAAATGACCCAATTACCCTTACTTAAACTAAAATTATAATTTGATTGTGTGAAAGTGGATTAAAAATCCTAATATAGTTTCATTTATTCCATCCCTCCCCTTCACCCGTCGAGCAAACCCATCACCCCTTCTTTTCGTTCGGTGATGTTGCAACCGACAACGCTCCAAGGAACGACGACCCTCGAGATATCCTTCTCTCGCCATCTCAATAGGGGGCAAGCCCTCCTCCACCATCTCCACTGCTTGCTTCCCCTCTGACCCCGACATGCTCAAATACGTCTGCGTCACTGACACCTCCCCTAATAATCCACCCCGATCTTCCTCATTAATCAATGTCGCCATGCTTTGAACTGAATTTGAATCAATCTCTTGCGTTCATAGTTGAATTATATCCGTGACAAGATTTATTTTCAAATCGATTTATCAATATGCATTGACTTAAAGTCAACCAAATGAATCAAAACCCAATTCCTAAAATCCCCAATTTTTTGTAGGGCCGAAATTGAACGGGTTCCCCTGCAAGGCGGACACCAACGTAACCGCTGCCAACTTCGAGAAGGTCCTCGTGCTGAACATTTGGGCGCTCCCTGTCCCGCATCGACTATGCGCTGGAAGGCCAGCACCGCCCCACACGCAGGAGGGCTTGCTCCATGTTCGGATGGCGGGATAAGGATTCCTTGAGGGTTGTCGGAGGAAGGCTCTCGCTTCGTCGATTTCTTGGAGCATTGCCGGCTACAACATCGACAGACGCCAATAAGGGGTGAGTAGTGATGGGGGGTTCCTCGACAGGTGAAGTGAGGGATGAAGATGAAATTAAATTAGCTTTTTTAATTCACTTCCACACAATTGAATTATAATTTCATTTTAATAAGGGGTAATTAGGTCATTTTCCACCCCACTTAAGGACCACTTCACAAAATTTTTAACAAAAGAGTATTTTTGTTCCGTTATTATATTAGAAGGATACGTCTATTAAAAAATATAATACAAGAGCACGTTTCTTAATTTACAAGAGCAAAATGGCACAAAATGCTATTAACCTATGGTAGTAATTAGCATCCTATCTCATAACTAGAGAAAGAAACCCAATTTGTGGGGTCTTAAAATCTCTCGAGCCCAAAGTACTTGAAATAAACTCTCTCTAGTCTCTCCTCTTCCTTTTCATCTGTTAGGGTTTCTCTCACCGATGGTCTTCATCCGCTTCTTCTGATCCTTCTGCACTTCTCTGTTTATATTGTCTTCTTCGTGTTCCTTTTTCGGGGAAAAACTAGCACGATTCAGAATCGGAGTAAGAAAGCTTTCTTATTTCTGCCCCTAGAATTTGTGGTGGGGTGAAGAATTTGATCGACGGGCTTATGCAATTGCAGGTTTAATCGGCTTCAAGTTGATAGCCGAGGCATGTATTCAAGAGGCAGTGGGTATGGGCAGCAAGCTTATGGTGGGCAGTCGAGCTACGCACAAAGTGTAAGCTTCTTAGGTCAATCGACTTGTTTGTGAACGTTAAGTTTGCGTCTTTTCTTTTAAAACTTGGAACTTGGGATTCCTTGTATTTGTATACGATATGATTTCATTAGTTTTCCTGGCTTCCCACTTGGCCTGCCATGTTAACCCTGTAATTGGATCAATTAGTTGCAGTCTATTAAACCTCTTAGGCGTAACATTGTGTTTTTTGCTCCAACCGGTGATTTTGCTGGTTTATGGTAATTGTTGGTGCTTTTGTGCATAATTCAATTACTTAAGATAGCTGAAGTGCTTATTGAAGATTCTGTGTTCTATAGTGCACGTACGTGCGATTTCCAGTTGAAGTCAGTTGGCTATTTCTACTGTTTTGGTTAATAGGATGTTCTTTTGAGCGAGCTAAGATTGAAAATATCGTTTATTTGTCTGTTGATTGCTGTTTGCAGTTAGGAAACAACTACTCTGGTAGCTCTGTTGCAGGAGCTGATTCAACTTCTCAACATTCCTTGGCTTCTAGACATCCCTCACTGCTGAGTGGTTCTCAAGAAGCAGATCTCGGTGGGTACAAAAGCTCAGTTTCAGGGTATGGGGGGCAATATGCAGGTGTCTATGGTTCAAATGGTGTTAGCGCTACCCAACCGGTAAGTTGGGCTCTTTTCGTGTTGATTATTTTCGTCCATTCGTAATAGAATCTCCTGAGGAAGCAATCATAAAGTTTCATTTTGTACTGTATGATTGATCATGTTAATTTAGAGAGTAGTGCATGGTTGATCCACTGAATTGTGTTCATTTTGCATTCAAGGCATACACTTATCAGTGGGGTGAATCCAATGATTGTAGTATTGATGACAAGGTTAAAAGATTGGATTGTCATGATTTTGGCTGAATGGTATCAGAATTTTGGTGGAACATGATTTCTCAACCCAATTTACCTTTTGAACCTTGGTCTGTTTTTTCTTGTTTTTTCCCTACGCGATGAGAGTATGTATCACAAGTTTTTGCAATGTTTTTTATAGTTCGCCTGCATTCATTTATTTGCTTGGAAAATGGGCGTTGAGCATTAGTGTTCGTTATCCAGGTGACCTCAGTGAGTAGCAAGGGGAGTGGGCCATCGGCTTTGGAAGGTCGTGGTGGCTATTCACCCAAATTTGCAGCTGGCGAATATGTTCCCTCGTCAAACCATGTGTATGGTCACAAAACTGAGCAATTATATGCAGACAAGCTCAGTGATTACACTGGAATAGACCGAAGACAATATGGTGAACGACATAGTTCATATATTGGTAGGGACTTGCAAACTGATCCAGCTTCCCGATATGCAGATTCTGTTGGCTTTGGTCATCAGGTTTGTGTTTGCGTTAAAATTTCTCATTGTTTTTGCTTTGCGTCTTTGGCTTTCCTCATTCATGTTCCTTCAGTAGCTGTGGGGCAAGAGTTTTTGATGTTTGTTTGTGCACCAAATATTTTTCTAAACACTTTTCCTTATTCCACGGTAATGACGTTTTTTGCTGGCTCTATTTTAGCAGACTGAGAGATATGACCGTGGGGATCAATCATCAATTCTCCGGCAAGAACAACTGTTAAAGCCACAGTCAATGCATTCTTCGTCGCTTGATGGGGGTGCCAGGTAGTTTAATTTATTCACTGTATTTTAAAGGTTCATACTTAGCCTACTACCTGTTTTAGAGCTAATGTTGGTGGTGGTTTACTTCTTGTATCCCTTAATTAATGACCAGGCAAGGTCATTCGTTGTGTTTTTAATACCAGTAGACTATTGCTTATTGTCATAGTCTGTGCACAGCTAAGCTAACTGCTGCATACTTGCAAATTGCGCTGTTGGCACCATGGCAGACCAATCGATTACCTTGCAGCGAGAGGTGCTTCTGCTAGCCGTCATCTGAACCAGGATCTCGTTGTGTCTTATGGAGGAGGAAGAGTGGACGCTGATCCTCGAGGCTCCTCAATTCTTAATAATGCTTCTTATAGTGGACAGCAACATGCTTCGTCCATTCTAGGGGCAGCTCCACGAAGAAACGTTGATGATCTTTTGTATTCTCAAAGTTTGTCGAACCCAGGCTATGGTGTTAGCCTCCCTCCTGGTAGAGATTATGGTTCAGGAAAAGGGCTGCTGCATGGAGCATCACTTGAGCCAGAGTATCGCCCTCTTCATCCAAGGCTTGACGATCGAAGGGATGAAAGAGCTGGTTATCTTCGGGAGTTCGAGCTGCGAGAGGAGGAACGCCGTCGAGATTTCTTGCGCGAGAGGGAAAAAGAAAGGGAGAAGGAACGAGAGCGGGAAAGAGAGAGGGAAAGGGAGCGTGAACGTGAAAGAGAACGGGAAAGAGAACGGAGGCGCGATAGGGAGCGTATGTTGGAGCGACGGGAGAAGGAAAGGGAGCGGAAGCGTGTAATTGAGATTAGACGTGAACGAACTCCACCAAGACCATCCAGGGATCCTCGTGGGTCCTCTTTGACAAGGGAGGGGGGACGATCTTCACGACGTGATTCCATTAGCCAAGAAGCTTCGCATAGGTGGTGGATCTTGATGACCCAATTTGCATCCTACTGTTGAATATGTAGCTGATCGTGTCTTGAAGCATTCTTAAACTAACTTGCTCTTCTGTTATGCTGAAGGCGTCATTCTTCACCTGTTAAAGATAAAAGGAGGGAATATGTCTGCAAGGTAAACCGCAGCAAGTGATAAAGAGTTTAGTCATGCAATGATTCTTCGTCTTTGACAATCTGGTCTTGATTCCTACATACCTTTGTTCTTGCTGCTCTTCTTTGCCCATTATTGGATGCACCAGCTCTTTCTGATTAACTCATCAACCACCCCTTGAATTGGTGTTCTCAAATTTCATCTGAATCTATTCTTCGGCAAACTTCCTTTTAAACTTCTCACCTTGGGTTTGATCTCTGTATCTTGCTGTTTAGTTCTGCCAGCTGTCCTCATTTCTGATAAATCTTCTCTTGCAGTCCTCACTCTTCATTCAATTCCGAATTCGCATTTTCCATGGGCATCCATCCGCACTGCTTCCCTTTGAATTCTGCCTTGGGAACTTGCTTCTTGGGTTTCCTTTAGATTCTTTGTGCTGATCACTCTCTTTATTCTAGAACATATCCGTCCTTCTTGGATATATCTCAACTACATCTCACTATTTTGTACCTCGACTTCTCTGGGCTTCAGCTTTTCTATTCCAGAGTAAAAAGCATTATTTGTCTCCTTGAAAATTAGTGCCTTCATATGCAACTTGAAATTTGTCATTTTTATATATGATGACTTCTATGGTCAACACAAAGAGCTTCATGTCGACTCTGCAACTGCCATTGGAGCTACCAACTTCTCGTCTTAGAAAAGAAGAGGAAGTCTGAAGCTGCTCTATTCATTCTATTGCATTTTTTAATCTCTAGGCTATCATAAATTTATTAGTCTGCCTTTTTTGTGTGTTTTAATTCTATGTATTTGCAGGTACATGGTTCCTGTTTGGTAGACATAGATAGGGACTATTTATCACTGGGTATAAGGTATCCCAGACTCTTTGTATCACCAGAACTTTCCAAGGTGAACTAATGTATTCTTTTCCTTTGAAGTTTTTCCTTCTTTTCTCGGACTTTTCAGATCATAACACTGTTCAATGTTTTCCTTGTCACCATAATAACGTGATTTCAGGTTGTTGTTAACTGGCCAAAGGAGAACCTTAAACTTTCGCTACACACCCCTGTGAGGTATTGTGTGTAGTTTCCATGTAGTTCTAGCCCTTAGCACTGTAAAAGTATTAGGAGCATGACATCTCGAAAAATGTTGCAGTTTTGAGCATGATTTTGTTGAAGATGAAAAAGTTTTAGAGTCGAAGGATCTCTCCATCAAGCTTCTGGGGCATCATCCTGCTAAATCTGAGAATGGGTCCCGAGTGTGGAATGCAAAGGTTTGATCATCATATTTGTTTCTTTTTCCAGTTATACTAATTTATTGTCGTTAAAAATGCGAAATTAATTTTTGCTTCCAAATTTTTGTATCTATATATGCCAACATATTGTTGAGTGGTTTGTGATCATGCGTTCTTTTCATTTGCTGCTTGATTTGCAACCTTGTACCAATATATTTATTAGTCACTGTTCTCTACTTCTATAACTCTCTATGGGGGTCATTCTTGGTTCCTAGTTTCCATTATTTCGTATTTCCTGGCTGTGGCAATATTTGTTCTTACGTTTAAACCAAATTTATGCATATGGTGCTTCTTCATACGGAAGGAGAGAATTCAACTTTAAAAATCTTCAATCCATGCCTTAGAAGTTCTCTTCCTACATAACTGGCTTCTGATGCATGTGAGTTTTTTCTTTTGGGGGGGTTGTTCTGTCAGAAAACGCACTGTAGGTAAATGTTCCTGGGGATTGAAATTAACGTGAGAAATATATTGTCACCTACAATTATAGTCCAAAAATGTCAGTCGATAAACACTTCAAAATGATGGAAGGTGACTCTCCATAGTTGACGATTATATTTGCTCTTTCTTCCAAGCTTGGCGAATGGCGAATTGAGTAGTTAACTTTCCAGTTCACCCATCTAAATGTTATTGCTTACGAGATGGTTATGTCTTCTCTTCAGATAATTTTAATGAGTGGAGTAAGCAAGAGTGCTTTTGAGGAGCTGTCGTCTTCTAAGATGGCTGATGATCGTCCAGCCCATCTTTCTAACATCCTTAGATTTGCATTGGTGAAAAAGGATCGTGCTTTCATGGCAATTGGTGGTCCCTGGGACCCTGTTGATGGTGGCGACCCAGCTGTTGATGATTCTCCTTTAATTCAAACAGCCCTTAGGTATTGCTCACTCTGTTGAGTTAGTTGATTATTGAACATTGATTTTTTGGTCACTGAAACTTGGTTACTTTTAACACAATAGATATGCAAAGGATGTAACTCAACTTGATCTGCAGAACTGTCGTCACTGGAATCGTTTTCTTGAGGTAATGATTCACTGTGATAATTGCAAGGGCTTGCGCTTAGAACAAAGTCTGCTGAAGATCAACTCAACTCAGAACATATGAGATCCTGTAGTTGTTGGTCACACAATGAGGTCTTAGATCTTATGTTGGTTTTAGCTACACTTTTGAGGGCTAATTGTGTGGGATCTGCATTGCATTTCCAGATACACTATGACAGATTTGGAAAGGATGGCTCTTTTAGCCACAAAGAGGTCACTGTTCTATTTGTTCCAGACTTGTCCGAATGTCTTCCTTCAATTGATACATGGCGAGATCAATGGCTTGCCCATAAGAAGGCCGTTGCCGAGAGGGAGCGTGAGCTTTCTTTGAGAAAGGAGGTATGTATTGTTCTTCTGCCTTAGCTGCCTATCCTATTAGCAACTCCTGGAATAGTGAAAGATCTTAAAATATAATAAAGGGGTTTGAGAAAAGCACCCTATCCACGTCAGCCTTGGAGAGCTCTCCTTAATTTTCGGAATTAGGGTGTTTTTTCCCTTTTTTTATATCTTCCGTGTTCTTTTCCAAGCAGTTACCACCAATTAGTATTTGTTAATCAACGTGTCCCTTCTGTTTTTTTGAACGATTGTATTTTTTCTTTTATTAACTTTCCGTGCTTTTTTTAATGACCCCAAAGATTGCATGTATTAATGAATTTTGAAAAACTGTACAAATATTTTGGGAACATGTAGATCTTTTGGGGCATTTTTAAACTGGATTTTTAGCTTTGATGTTTAATATGTTCTTCTTTATAAGAAAATTATATTAATAATAACATATCTAGAATATATATAACTCGAACTGGATAACCGGTTGGGCACCGAAACCACTAAATAAGTTACAATAACGGTTTGATTCATTTGATTGGACGGTTAATGATACATAGAACGATTTTAACGATTTGACGTGAATTAAGAAGAACCACCCCAGCTTGATTGACCCATAGGTTTATTATTTAACTATAAAATATTAATATATATTTTTTTTACATAAACCAAAACCACCCAACCTCAATCACTAATTTTATTTATAATTTATTTTCTTTATTTCCCAACCTATTTGACACCTCTATTTGGTTCACTACGGATTGTCACATGATTACTAACTTGAATTTAATAAAGAAAATTTGATTTCTTTGTTAGATAGTTTGAATATTTATTAAATATTTTTGGTGGTAGATGATATAGGTTTTTGAAATTATTTATGATTAGTGATAAATGCACTTCTAAATTAGTGTATTATGGCTTTTATGTTATAATGCATGGACGATTTTATAAATGATTAACAATATTTTATAATGATTAACCATTGAACTATCAACCGCTAGCTTTTTTGGTTGAGAAACCAGAGTATGAACACATAACATTTTATTATATAAAGATTATTGATCTCAAATACACCTAAAATGTTATAATTTTGATCTAGACGCAGTAAACCTCTTTAAAATAAGCATACGAATAAGAAAGATGAGAAGGTTTCAGTCTTGACTTCAATTGAATATATTTTTTTTAACATTTTCAGTATTTTGAACTAAAATATTGTTATAATCAAATCAATTTTTTGTAATGTTACATATATTCATAGATTACATTGTTAAAGAAATACTACCTGCCCAAAGGGCAGGGTTTATGCTAGTATTTATATAATATGTTTGGTTGCAGAGAACTGGAGAAAAGAAGGAAGGGTCAAAAGGTAATTTCAATAATGTTTTAAATTTTTTGCACTGGATTCCCACTGGTTGTCTTGTTTCAAAATGGGGTTTCTTGATCCTACTATCCAGGCAAGGGACATGACTCTGCGAAAGATACTAAGAAAATAACCAAACCAGATATGGTGAAGAAATCTGCTGCTGCTTCTAGTGCCAACTTAAGGGAGAGAGAAGGAAATGATTCCAAAGACAAAATGGTTCCTGAGAAAGATGATGAGAATGAGAAGTCTGGGAAACAATCTGAAAATGATCTTAGGAATAAAGAGAAGGATGATGCTGAGAAGGAAGCCAAGGTTGAACCTTCAAGTACCAAGGCGGCTGCTGGTGTCAAGACTGGAAAGAAGAAAATTGTTAAAAGGATTGTTAAGAGGAAAGCAGTTGCTAAGTCGGTTGATACTGCCAATGCAGCAACAAGCGATTTGCCAAGTGGGAAGGATGTTGGAGACAAACCTGCTGATAGTGAAGATAAGGGCCTGCAGCCTGAAGGGAAGGCTGAGTTGGTGACACCTCAGTCTGTTGAGGATAAACCCAAGGATAAGTCGGATCCCAACACCGTAGCGACAGGGTCACCTGTTAGTGTGAAAACAGCTGTGAAGAAGAAAATTATCAAGAGGGTGCTTAAGAGGAAGCTCACCAACAGGGAAGCTACTGAGTCTGAGGGAACTGTTGGGTCTGCTTCAAAGGAAGAGAAGACGGTAGCTCAAGTAGTTAAGGAAGTGGAAAGTGCAGGTAACCAAGTATCAGCAGAGATTGAGAATGACAACAAGGTTAAAGAGTTAAAGGAGAAAGAAACTCCTACAAAATCCTTGAAATCACCAGAGAATAAAGCAAGTTTGCCAAAGTCGACAAATAAAACAGACAGCAAAGCCATAAAGGAAGACAAGGATGAAAAGACACCCGAAGGGGAAAATGGCACAGGCAATAGAGCCGAGGGTAAGGCTGACAACCAAAAGGGTGCTGAGAAGGATAATCATACGGCTGCCAAGAAAGGAAGATCAGTGGACGGAGAGAAAACAAAGGACGAGAAAAAGGACAAAGATGGGAAAAATGAGACGAGGAGTAAATCTCCTAAAGAAGTGAAAGAGAAGAGAAAGTCTGAAGACCCTCCTAAACACCCTGGATTAATTTTGCAAACAAAATGCGACAAACAAACTATGGTATGTTATAAAATATATGGAGAAGATGACTAAAAAGAAAAAAATAGTGGGAAGTTGCTCCTTTTTTTTTTGTCTATCTAGTTGTGAGGTTTTTTGGGTCTGTCTTGCAGCTGTACTCATTATCACTTTCTTTGGACTCACTTTTGGATTACACGGACAAGGACACTGACGAATCAACAGTGGAGGTTGTTTTCATTGCACTATTCGTTTGGTTTGGTCTGCTTTAATCGCTTTCGTCATTCTAACCATTGCCTAAATTGTTACGCAGCTTTCTTTATTTGCCGAGTCCCTACATGAAATGCTTCAGTATCAAATGGGTTGCCGTCTATTAGCATTCCTTCAGGTAGTTTAATTAACTCTCTTCTGTCTAAGATGCTCAAACATAATTTGTTTAGTGTGTAGTCTTATTTGCATTTCTCTTCTTTCCATAGAAACTGCGCATAAAATTTGTTGCTAAATGGAATGAACGGAAAAGGCAACTAGAGGGAAATGATCCTAAGGACAAAGATGACAAATCGTCGACAAAGCGCCTTAAAACCAGTGAGGCTACTTTGAAGAATGAATCTGATGCTGAAGTTTTGAATCCAACCAATGAACCTGATCAACAAAAAGATGAGGAGGCTTCTGCTCCTCAAGATGAGGTAAAGCCTCAAGATGGCACAGATGACTATGAGGAAGAGCCTGAAGAAGAAGAAGAAGATCCAGAAGAAGATCCGGAACCACCTGAAGAGAATGATGAAGAAATGGAGGATCCTGAGCAGAATATGATTACTGAGGTAAGATATTCTTTTGTGGTGATTAGAGGTGCTGTTATTATTGGAATGAATCTTGTTGTCTTATTTGCATTTCTGAACTGACATTGGATTTGGCGAGTTCTAGAAAAAAAGTAAAGAAAGTATGCTTGTAAGGGTACGGAGTTGAGTTGAGTTGATGAGATATCCAACGTATTTGAATTTGAGTAATGAAACAAAAAAGTTTTGATGAATTATTAGATAATTTGTTTTAATAATAAAATAACAATTGACTCTGGATTTGAATGACTTCCGGATTACGTATTTACATATATAGAGTTTGTAATTCTTTTGGGTGAATACAACAGAATGACAAAGAGGAAACTAAAACTACCAGTGTTGATGATGCTGCTCATGGAGTGGTGGCTGTCAATGAAACTGGTGGTGAGGATGGTGACGCGAAGAAACCTGTGTTGGCAAAAGCCAAGCCTGAGTTGGATTCTGCAACTGAGAAAGGAGGTGTAGAAGTAGAGATGAAGGGGGAGAAAGGGAAAGATTCTTCGACTGCGAAGGAGCCAGTTGTTGTTGATAAGGAGCTGTTGCAGGTAAACTATCTTTTGAAGTTTCTGTTTGTGCTCACCCATTGTTTTTGTTCATCAGCTATTTGAAGCGTGTTTGCTCTGTTGTCTTCGAAACAGGCTTTCAGGTTTTTTGATCGGAATAGGGCCGGGTTTGTTAGGGTAAGTATCACATCAGAATCCTTCTGCGCTTTGCCAGTATCCTGTGGCTTTGCGTGGAATTGAAAGATTTATTTTCATTCATTCCTTCAGGTAGAAGACATGAGGGTTATCATCCACAATCTGGGGAAGTTCCTTTCTCACAGAGAAGTGAAGGTGCGCGTTCTTTCATGTCGTCTGTTTCATTTTGTTACTTTTGAGATCTGTCTCATTTGGTAACTGCTGATGTTGCTATTTACTGGTTCAGGAACTTGTTCAAAGTGCATTGCTGGAGAGCAACACCGGGAGGGATGATAGGATCCTTTATCCCAAGCTGGTGAAGATGAACCTCTCTTAGAGACGAGACATGGAAGTAGTTCAGTAGACTTCAAGAGTTCCTTCTTTTGGACTGTTAAGCCAACCGTAAGCTCCACTTTAATGTTATTTTTACGAGCTTGTTCATTAGTTTGACGCAATAAAGATTTGAGATTGATTGATACATCAAGCAAGGTAGACAATATAATCCATATATCCAATCTATTGGAGAGAGAAAAACCATTATCGCTTCTAACTTGCTAGCATTAAGAAAGGTACCAGCCCCATAGCAACAAGGAAATAAATAGAAGATGCAACTATTCTTCAATGTAGCTATTGTTCTTGAATACCAAAACCAATCAGTGTTATAAGGGATTGTTTCTTCACAACTTTCCCAGGGAGATCATTCTCTGAATGTTTCGTAAACCTAGAAAAGGTACTAATTTGCTAGAAGGAGACTCACTTGGATTTAAGTTGGGAGGAGAGTAATTTCGAGAAGATGGTTCCCGAGTACAAGATTTCCTAGAAAAGGAATCGACATATGCAATAGCATCGATTGAAAATATTCTAATATGCATTCTCCAACATTAGTGAAGGGCCAACGAAATTTTATTGAGCATGTCGGCTTCTATAAGAGTTTTATCCAAGTTTCCTCTAAAATTGCAAACGATTGATTAAATTGTTGGAAAATGACAAGTTTGTTTGGTCATTGGTGAAATATTTAGCTTTTAAATTAGCTTTTAAATTTTTTAAAATGAAATGACGGTTTGTTTTCTCTAAAGTTAGCTTTTAAATTTTTGAGTTACCGACCAGCTCACGCTCCTATTTTCGTGTCTTCGGACTGGTCTTCACCATTTGAGCTTATGTGTGATACTAGCAACTATGTCATAATTGGAGTAGTGTTGGGGCAGGGAAGGAAAAACAATTTCTATCTTATTACTATGTCAACCACACCCTCAATGATTCATAAATAACTTACACAACAACAGAGAAGAGATAGCTTGCCATCACATTTGCTTTCAATACAGTAAATCAAGCAACGAAGGTAAAAAGACAAGGACTGACATTAGTCAATTGAAAGCTTGCTGCGCCGCATTACCTCACACAACTGGGTAGCTATGACATTTGAAACCCATACTCCATAGAAGAACAATAAAAGTGATCGTCACAATGATTGGTGAAGTAAACTTGTTAGGCATAACATATTTTCAGTGTCAAGGTATATTGTTTAACACCAAATTCTTATCCATATGCTTTTCACTTTGCATGAAGCCACACCCCGCACCTCCAAGTAATTCGAAGACACCCAAAATAAAGGGTACAACCCATCACAAAGATAAACATTAAAAGTTGATGGATTCAAGACAATTTTTCGAATCTCAACTCGAATCCCCGCTGCCTCCTTGAAAGAGAGATGTCCTGAACCACTAGACGATAGGGGCATATTTGCCCGACTGTGAGCATACTATGCTCGTATTATAGTAGTATAGCGCAATTGTCAATATAACGAAATAGTATGACTAGATTCTAAGGACCTTTTCGTCTTTCCAGGATCCGATAGGATTTTTTGATTCATTATTTGTATTCCGACAATACTCTCGAAAATGGTATTTTTGGGACTATGGTGTTTTAAACACCCTAATAATTAAGAAAATAATAACAAAGGTGACGTTTTATATTTTTGAAATTTTATCGCTTAAGAAATCGGCCTATCAATTCCCCCTTTACCTATAAAAATATTTAAGATTTTCTGAACATTTTCTAATGATAAGTTGGTGTTATAACCTGTCTCAAACTTTGTGGATATATAAATAAATGAGTGGAGTGGAGTTCAATTCCCACTTTGATAATTTCTTGTTCCTACATTTTTCATCTCCAACTTCCTTTTACATAGTAGAAACTTCAGTTCATACCGTAGCTATAGTAAATCCATATTTTTCCATCCCAAAAAATAATCTACCTTAAGTGAATAAATGTGGAGTTTACCTTCGTTGTCTCGCAACAACATTCATTATGTGATGAATCAACCTCTCCTCGATTGTTGTGACAGTTAGTGGTTGGAGTTCTGTGAGGAACACAACTGTTGTGAACTAGAATTAGGGATGAGAAATATAAGAATTAGGGTTGAGAATTGGGAATTTAGGGTTAGGAATTGGGAATTGAAGAGAGATTATAGATTTGATAATTCTGATATGATTATTCATACGTAAAATAGTGCACAACTGGTGTTTAAATAGAGATCTCCCCAATTACTAACAATGACCCAAATACCCCTCCCCTAGGCCTCTGCCGAGCCGCTCACACTCCCTTCCCCTTCGGAACTGAGCTTTTCCTCAAGATCGAATGTAGGGTAGTTCTGACGAATGGTCTCAGTATCCTCCCAGGTTGCCTCTTCCGGTCTGAGGTGCTTCCACTGTATGAGGCTCTCCGTCACGTGCTTCCTCCCCTGCTTCACCCAGCGTACATCGAGCACCCCCTCTGGCTCGAGCTCCAGACACCCTTCCCCATCGACGGGCGGCTCCGGAGGTGTTGCCGGCTGTTCAGTTCCCCGATACCTGCGCAGGAGAGACACATGAAATGTAGAGTGAATTCGGGCTCTGCAGACGGTAGGCCACTGCCCCAATCCGCTCGAGCACCTGATAGGGGCCAAAATAGCGAGCTGCAAGCTTCTGGTATGCGCGGCGGAACACCGAAATCTGCATGTATGGGTGCAACCTGAGCAGCACCCAGTCCCCACCGCGAACTCCTCATCCCGGCGTCCCGAATCGGCCTGTTGCTTCATACGATTGTTGGACGCGGCCAAGTTGGCCTTCAGTTGCTGCAGGGTTGTGTCTCGTTCGGCCAACAACCTGTCTACTGCATCCAGTGCACTCGTTCCAGACTGGTACCGTACCAGCATAGGTGGTGTACGCCCATATAAAGCCTAAAAAGGGGACATCTGGATCGACCGGTGATAGGTGGTATTATACCACAACTCAGTCCAAGGCAACATAGCCAGCCACCGACGCGGCTGCTGGTGTGCAAAACAGCGTAGATACTGCTCGAGTATCTTGTTAACGGCCTCCGTCTGTCCGTCGGTCTGCGGGTGATACGCAGAGCTCATCTTCAGATTTGTCTTCGCCATCGAGAATACCTCCTTCCAGAACCTGCCCAAGAAAAGTGCATCCCGATCACTCACGATCGAGCGGGGAAAGCCGTGGTGCCGGATCACTCCCCAAACGAACTGCTCTGCTACACTCCTGGCCGTATACGGGTGTGCTAACGCCATGAAGTGCGCATACTTCGTGAGCTGGTCAACCACCACAAATAAAACGGTCTTCCCACTGGACGGCGGCAGCCCTACTATGAAATCCATGCTAATGTCCTCCCAAATCCGCTCCGGTACCGGTAATGGTTGTAGTAAGTCTGCCGGTCGTAGCAAGGAAGCCTTGACCCTGTGGCAAGTATCGCAGGAGGCCACATACTCCTTAACCTCGCGACCCATCTGTGGCCAGTAGAACTGACTGTGAATCTTCCTCAGCGTCCTCTCGTGCCCTGAGTGTCCACCAACCGGGGAGTCATGGAACTCCTTCATCACCGTCGCTGTCAGAGAAGTGGACGCCGGTAGGACCACTCGCCCTTTAAAGTATACCAGCCCATGGCGGAAGGAGTAATCACCCGAGGTCACGCTCAAAGCAACGTCGCGCCTCTCCCTCAAGTATGGGCTCGTCTCTACTGCCTTCCTGACCTCGTCCCAGAACTGCACCACTGGTCCGGTCACAGCTGCCACCTGCGGCTCAAGCTCCACTCGTGACAAGGCATATGCGGCCTTATTTATCGGACCCGGTCGGTAATGGAGCTCATAGTCATATCCCATCAACTTCACCACACAGTTGTGCTGATCTGGAGTGGACACCCGGTGATCCATCAGATGCTTCAAACTCTGATGATCGGTATAGATACGAATCTTCTCGCCGATCAAATAAGGGCGCCACATCTGTACAGCTTCTGTGATAGCATGCGTCTCCTTCTGGTACGTTGACCAAGCCTCCTTGGAGGGAGGAAGGGTCCGACTCATAAAAGCAATGGGATGCTTTTCCTATGACAGCACCGCACCAATTCCCCGGCCCGACGCGCTTGTCTCGATGTCAAATGGCTGGGAAAAATCTGGTAATGCCAAGACTGGGGTCGTGGATAGGGCCACCTTGAGCGCCTCGAAAGCACTCTCGGCCTCTGGGGTCCAACTGAACCCTCCTTTCTTCAATAGTGCGTTCAGTGGCCCGGCTATCGAGCTGTAACCCTGCACAAAGCGCCGATAATACCCGATCAAGCCCAGAAAGCCCCTCAAGGCCGTCGCACTCCTCGGCACTGGCCAATCCATCATGGACTGAATTTTTCGCGGATCCACTCGAACTCCCTCCCCCGATATCACATGTCCCAGATAGTCCACCTCCTGTACTTCGAACGCACATTTGGATTCCTTCACAAAAAACTGATTCTCCTGCAATATCTTGAACACCTCCTGCAACTGTTGTAGGTGCTCCTCCCACGATTTACTGAAAACCAAGATATCATCAAAGAATACCAGCACTGACCTGCGTAGGAGAGGCCTAAAAATGTCATTCATGACTGCCTGGAAGGTCGAGGGCGCATTGCAGAGCCCGAAAGGCATCACGAGATACTCGTAATGGCCACTGTGTGTCCGGAATGAAGTCTTCGGAATATCCTCCTCGTGCATGCGTATCTGATGATAACCAGCTCTTAGGTCGAGCTTCGTGAAATATTTTGCCCCTCGCAACTCATCAAGCATATCATCAACAGTCAGAATCGGGAACCGATCTCGAACCATTACTGCATTGAGGGCCCTGTAGTCAGTACAGAACCTCCAAGTGCCATCCTTCTTTTTGACCAACAACACCGGGGACTAAAACGGGCTGGAGCTTGCCTGAATCAACCCCGTGGTCATCATCTCGGCCACCTGGCGCTCTATCTCCTCCTTCTGAGCATGTGCATACCGGTACGGTCGAACGTTAAGCGCCTCAGTGCCTCCCTTGAGTATAATCCGATGGTCAACCTGCCATTTCGGGGGAAGCTGGGTAGGTTGAGCAAATAGATTAGCTTATCGGTCCAACTACAACTGCAAGTCCGATGCTCGAGCCTGTCCCTTGGCGCGCTCCATCGGCCAGCAAAGGATGGCCAACTCCAAGTCCTCCTCGAGCTGCGGGTCGCCCCACTCGATGAGTCTGGTCGCTGTCGTCATCCCTCGCAGCTCCCAATCCTTATCCCTTTACTTAAACTTCATCACCATCTCTACCCAGTCACTCGTCACCGGTCCCAGACTCTTGAGCCATGGCATGCCCAGAATCAGGTCGAATCCGTGCAATGGCAGTATATATAGGTCGAGTGGGATTAACAGCCCTTGGATCATCACGGGAACCCCGACTAGCTTCTCTGCACACCGTAGTGGAGCCCCATTAGCCACCTTCACATCGAAGGACTCAACGGTTGACCTTGGCAACTACAGCCGCTTCACAAACTCTGTACTGATGAAATTGAGAGAAGCCCCACTGTCGACGAGGGCCACTCCCCATTCCCCCATGACCTGCACCTGGAACCTCATCGTCGCCGACCCCGCCGTCTCGACTGCCGCGACGGCCGAGATCGTTTCAACGCCCCCACCTGTCTTCTCCCTCCGCGCGGTCGGTTCCTCCTCCTCCTTCTTCCCCTCCGCGCGCGCGACCCGAGCCTCTTGGCTCTCGCCTGCCTCGACTGCAGCGGCCGATTCGCCGGCGCCCTCCAGCTCCCTTGCCGCGGCCGCCGCCACCCTCGCCTCTGCCCTCTCCGTCGCGGTCGCGATCAAGGGTATGCGACCCTCGGACAGCACCCGCGCCTCGCCTATCGCCACCCGAAGCTCCTCCTCCGTGCGCGCCAGCCGTGCCAACACGCCCCGCAAGCGATCGGTGGTTGACTTGCCCCGGTCCCCGCAAGAATTCTTTGCTGAACTCATGTCGAACACAGCTCTGATACCAATTGTGAGGAACACAGCTGTTGTGAACTAGAATTAGTGATGAGAAATAGAAGAATTAGGGTTGAGAATTGGGAATTTAGGGTTGGGAATTGGGAATTGAAGAGAGATTAGGGATTTGATAATTCTGATATGATTATTCATTCGTAAAATAGTGCACAACTGGTATTTAAATAGAGATCTCCCCAATTACTAACAATAACCCAAATACCCCTCCCCTAGGCCTCTGCCGTGCCACTCACAAGTTCCGACGGGTCCCAAAAAAGTGCCCAAATCGATCAACTTATAATGTATTTGTCTTTGAGACTTCAGAGTACCCAGTGAAATGAAAAATAGCTGCAAGAGTAGTTGATGTTTTCCAGTATGCCTCAGCACTGTAGATAGGGCTGAAAATTGGCCCGACCCGCCCCTGACCCTGTCTGACCCGTCCCTGAAGGGTCAAGATGTATAACTGACCCGCCCCGACCCTGTTTCTTTCATGACCCTGTCTGACCCTTTAGGGTCGGGGCGGGTCAGTGGGTCGATCCTAATAAATAGACTACTTTTCTAAAAATTACTATACGGTACCCGAATTTATTTTTTCTTACATTTTAGTACCTAAATTATATTTTTTACAAATAAGTCCCTAAAATTTGATGGTAAAATTACGTTTTGGTACCCAAATTTTTTAATTTTTACAATTTAGTACCTAAACTTATAAATTTTTACATATAGGTCCAACATGTTTGTATGATGCTAAGGGTCATAGGGTCAAAAAGTGACCCGACCCTAAATTGACCCTATAGACAAACTGACCCAGCCCGACCCTGAGGGTCGGGACGGATCAGGACGGGTTGGGACGGGTCAGTGGGTTTAAAGGGTCAAACTTACACCCCTAACTGTAGATATGGCATGCCTAACGGATTTATTTCGACTGCGAGTCACTCCTCAACGTGGCGATCTAATTTTTTTTTTTTTTTTCTCTTTATCTAGATTATGTTTCGAATGTCATTGGCTACCTGGTGTGAGGTAATGCAGCGCAACAAGTTTTCAATTGACTCTGTCAGGACTTGTTTCTGGATCTTAGTTGCTTGATTTACCATATCATATGTCGTCACGCTGGGGTTCAATAGTCCCCAAAGCTGTTTCATGCTTGTTAATTCCTCAATCACGGCCGTGTTTCTTGGAAACTACACCAACGTATTTCAGCCAAGGATCTCTTTACTCTGCTTAGCCAAAAATATGAGCAAGCAACAAAGATTATAAATAAAAAAATGGTCTTACCAATTCAGAGGCTTAAATTAGATTCCTATTCTATAATCACAACCGATTATATTACTTCTTCAAGAAGTACATCCCATCTCTCAGCTCTACCTTCTCTTCTGCGACTAACCCTGACAAAAAGCTCTGCAGCTGTTGAAGCGACTTATCGTATGGAGCATCAGCAACACAAAACATCTGGACGCAGGTGGTTTTGTCGAGTCGCGAGTAGTTAGATGTGGTAGTCAAAAATCTATATGAAAGTCAGAGAAAGTCGAATGGTGAGGCAACTAAAGCTCACCTTGAGAGTGTTATGAATGCGCTCCAAAGCCATGCTGCCGAAATTTGTGAGCATCCCCATTATATATTTCTGAGGAAATAAAATAAGTCGTACTTCCATTTAAGCTTTTCCACTGTCACACAGTTGGCTCAAGGAAACAAATGAGAGGTGATGAATCACATACCTCGTATACGGTCATCTCCTTGCGCAGTTGGTCCTCCGCAGATGCTACAGAGCTTTCCCCTTCTTCGTCACCAGGTAACATCTCCTCACAAGAACCACTGTTGCCAGCATTCTTACCCGCATCAGTATTACCCTCAGCAAGGGTAAAGACATGGTCGTTTGGTTCTGTCCCGAGAGATTCAGATACAATTCCCTGCATAATATCACATTTATTTCAAAATAGGAAATAAAATTGTCAGTGTGGTGGCTCTTAGATTTAAATAATTTTGGGCTAAAGAGGAAAATAGTTATTTTAAAAGTCAGAATAAAAAGTATGTTTTAAGTTGACCTTTTTGAAAGTGAATTATGTTTAGAGTTAAAGCCAACGCACAAAACTCGGATGAAATTCCTGCAAACATACCTTGCTTATCCAGAAATTTATTCTTCGATTCAGAACATCCACTGGTACACCAAGGGCAGCGGAAAGCTTATTTGAGGTCCAACTGAAATTGATACAGAAAGAGAGTTAGCAGAGCAGGCAAAGTCTTGTTGTGTCTCAAGAAATCTTCATGGTACCTTATCTGATCTTGGAATTGCATGATAATCGCGGCATGTATAGGTGTCACAGTAAATTGTATTTCCCTATCTTCAAATTCCAACTCCAACTGAAAACACAACATATGGAATATGAAAACTTCGTGACACATTTTGTTGACTGATATGACAAAGAAATCTGGAGGCAAATTCAAAGAAACTTGCCTTGACCGTGCCAAGATTCTTCTTCCAAAGCAGTTTCCGAGGAGTCTTGATTTCATGAAACCTTTTTGCATAATCAGTGAGGAGCTGGTCAACTGGTGCTGGTAGAGTGAGGTCCTCATCCTGGAAGCAAATGCAATGAAATTGAGTTTTACTTTTTCTTATCTACATACCAACTGTTTCACGATGCCAGTTACGGCCTCTCAAAAGGCTGAACAGTGATACTCAATTAAAAGCAAAAAAATGTATGTATCACCTGGATAGGAGGCCAAAAGTTGGAGGAGATGATTGTAGCATCAAGAATGTTGATAGTTGCCCCCATTTCCCGTTCTTCGTTTCCTACGAGCATATCAATCATAGAGGAAAATTGTCATCGAAAAACCTTGGGCTCAGAGCTAGTTGGAGGATGAAATCGTATGTATCCAGGTTACCTATTTGAGATGGTTGTATTGTTGTTTTAATGTTGTGGTTCGTCCTCTTTGAATCAATCAGATCATTAAGCATGATTTCACACTTCTGCATGCTAATTTCCCCAAAATGTATCTGCAAAATGGTTTATTAAAAACGAAAGATGATGGTTATTCAACCAGTTGAGTACACCAAACTACATACAGGAGGGCTAAGACCAAAGTCCTACATAGACAACCTACCTTGAGGAGTTCCAAAGTACGTATCTCAGAGGCGATGTCGTAATCAGATTTGCTCAGAAGCTTTTCAGCTAACATTACACGGTATTCATTTACAAGTTGGTCTTTTGAACCGATTATGCTGACTATCATCCCCAAAATATCGACCTTGCTATGGTTCCTGCTTCCCTTCAATGGATCAGCCTCTGCAGGATCAGGCTCCCAGCTAAAATGCAAGCAACAATGAAGTGGAGGTCACAATGTTGTAATTTGAACCATATGTTGCCTAATCAGCCAAAATATGAAGTTCCCAGTTAATGAACATCTATCTAAATAGAAACTAGTTTCACATACTTAGCAGCATTTATCCATGCCTGCTTGTCATCAGTATTGAAGTCGTCATTTGCACCAATATTATCCTGCCCTTCATCATCCCTGTTTAGCTCTTCAAGTAGGCTATCCCCAGTGATCCCAGATGCAGCGGCATTCCCTCCACTTCCATCAGTAAGCATGGTCACAATGCATTTTATGGTATCCTTTCGACCCCGTAAGTAATCTCTTATTGGTTCACCAACAGCTTCAAGAAACACACCAGTTGGATCAATTGTTCGTAATGCCTTTATAGTTGAGACATACTGGTGCAATATATCATTGGTTGAAGCACCAGCAGTGAGTAAACGATATCGTAGTGCTGAAATGAAGGACTCCACAAGCTTAGAATGTTGTCCTGTATACTCAAGGCATTGTTTCAGGTCCTCAATGGCAGGAGAGCTGCAGAGACCACTAACTCGTTAGAAATATGAAGATGTGAAATCCAGTAATAAATTGAACTCAGTATATGGCAAAAGAGTTCAGCAGGTATGCTTTACCTACAACTAGTACCATTTGAACAAAAAGCAAGATTAGTACCGAAGAAACAAATTGCAAAAGCCATGCAACTTCATTTGTTGGTCATAGTAAATCATGCTTCAGATAAGAATCTTATGATCAGCCCGTTTTATCCAAACAACATTATTAAACTTCTCATATTAACTAATCAAATAGCATAACTTCATTCTGAGATTTGAACCAGTTGAGGACAACCCAAACGTCAAAGGCAATAAGGTTTTACCTGTCAGGATAGTCAACAATAATTTCAAACAGCTTGGCAATTCTCAAGTCTTGTAATGTCTCATAAGCAAAATACTCCAGCCGCAATTGCCATCTGATGAGTCCTTCGGAAGGTGCATTACTTGCAGGATGCAGTGGGGATGACTGAGAAGCCAAAGGTGATATTTTACTAGCTGAAGGACTACTTTGGCTAATGGAATCACCAAGATATTCCAGAAGCGCAGTCAAGAACTGGAGAGGAACAGCCTGGCCACCATGCATGATATGTCAGGCTCTTACCACGCAATATAGTAACTCGATAAAGGATACAAGAGGCAGTCCGCATACGAGAGACACCAGAAAGAGAAAATGTGCAAGCAGTTCGGTAGGAACCAAAATATATGCCAAGACATCATTTCATTGTAGATACCCTAGTAAAACAGAGGATGATTTAAATCTTAGGACTCCTGGCTAGTCAATTAACTGACTACATTAACAAAGCAGTTCTTGCATGTGATGAGGAACTCAGGCATAATGATACGTTGAGCGCTTTTTCACCAACACTAAGTATATAGTCTCCAGATCTGGCGTTTCCATTCACTAAATAAATTATCTCTAAAAACCTTAGTTAGGACAAATGAAAATGTCAAACAACGGTAGACAGACCTGTATCCAATGTTTGATCGACTCCAAAACTGAACCTCTGTAATCATCACCAGCGAGATCATTTACTTTATCCTGCCATCCAATTAGTAAGTACAGCTTCATTCATAAGGCAATCGATTGTTTGTCTACACAGTATCACGTAAAAGATTGAAAAATAACAAAGAAAGATATTGCAAGGTTGAATTCTAACGCAAAACCAATAGCAGAAGCTCACCTTGAGAAGCAGAAAGATGGCAGAGGCATAAGCATCTTCAGTCAAAGAAGTAAATCCAAGACTTCTGAGATGGCGTACTACCTCCCCGATGTTCTTCACCAATTTGTTATTCTCAGTAAACTTACCCTGGGAAAAACATTCATCAACATCCATAGCTCCATTTTTATGAGATGATTTTCCTTCTTCATCTAATTCCATATCATCGTTTTCAGAGTCATCGTCACCGTCACTCTCTCCCTTCATGATTGCACTTAGTTCCTCCAACTTCCCCTTAAAATACGAGTGTAGTATTTCTAAGGAAAAATTTCGCAAGTTAGGGAAAGAAAGGAGTAGAGGAATCAGAAACATGAAGCAGATCAAACAGTTTTACAACAAGAAAGTAGCTTTAACATCTGAATACTATCCAGCGTGGAATAAGAAAAGCAATCAGATACCTACGCACATAATCACCAAGAGGAAGAGGCATACCAGGAAAATGCCGCGGAAGGCTAGCCATAAGAACTGAAGATACCACTAATTGATACTTTGAGAGAAGATATTGCCTCTCGTCATCGGTTTCTAAAGCATCAACCAACATCAACAAGCAGTTTTCCTGATATTGTTTCACGGCGGAAATCTCATCAAGTGCTTTCCACAACACTTGCTGGACCTCACTGTCATCAATCTGCATTTTAATACTCACAAGGGCTCAGAACCAAAAACAGAATCACCTAACACACCCACTCTCCAACAATTTCTTTTGAAAAATAAAAGCAAGTCGCCGTAGTTACATACTGGAGCTATATTCTTACTCTTCTTCTCCAATGAATCGTCCTTATAAGCATCAAAATGCTGCCAAAATCTCAAAGCTCCGCGTCTCTCGAAAGTTTCCTGGCAGGCACGGAAAATGTAAGCCCTCTGTATTCAACAATCCACAGACAAAAACCGATCAATTGCTTCCAATTTGACTGCAAGAGGACGCGGATGCCTGCTTACCTCCAAAGATTTGAGGAACAGGTCGCGCACAAGGGAGTGGAGTCCGTGCTTGCAGAGCACGCCGGCGTGCGATACGAATTCACGACCGACGGAGAGGTTGACGGAGGTGGGGTTGAGAAGAGCGTCGGAGGTCGAACAGAAGCCATTGTAGCTATCGAGAATTTCTCTAATGGAATCGCCGCCCAAGGTGTCCAGAAGCTCGAAATCGCACACTGATGGAGACGAGGATTCTTCCATTTTGGTGGAGCCCTTTTACAGTGTAGAAGCCGAGGCAACAGCCTGAGATCGAGAAACCCTAGATTCTACAAGAAGAGAAGTAGTGCAAACTCAGTGGAAGTAGAAGGAAATGGCGGCGAGAGGGAAAACGGAAACTTTCAATTTCCCTGTTTATATTTTCTGAAAACTTATTTTATTTTCTCATTAAAAAAAGTTAAAACTCATTAACTGCAGATAGAATTACTATTTGCCGCCAAATAAACGATGAATACATCTGGAGGTTCAAAATAATTTTTTCCTGATTTATTTATTTATTTAGTTTATTGTAAAAATGAGTTGAAAATGGAAAAAGATTAACGATAATCTAGGATTTTATTGGCGTCTATCTTTCTACCCAAAAAAATATTAACGGAGTTGGACGTAGAGTAGCCAAATTTGAAATATTTGACTAAATTAATGACCACATATAAAAATAAATATTTTTTATGACCAAACATAAATTTTTTTAATAAACCGAGTGACTAACGTTACAATTTATCTTTTTACATTTGTAGATGCATGAGGAAGGTTGGCTTACAAATTGATTGAGTTACTATATACCTCTCCTTCAATCTCGTTTTCCTTAAATTTATGTCTTCATATAATCTCATTGCGCCTGAAGATTATACACCACAGACCACTGCTCATTTACTGTAGATAGAATTACTATTTGTTTTTTTTTCGTTGAATCAGTTGCCCTTTTACTATTAAGTAAAAAAGAATTGCATAAGCAATTCAAGAACCAATATAACGAAAAGGGTTGCCATTTAGGCTTCCCAGAAGAACAAACAAAAATAACAAGGATCAGAAACCTCCGGATGAGTTACCGTCACTTCCCCTAAAAGGGATGTGAGATTCACATCCAAGGGCAATTTGGGTATGAAAAAAAAAACAGAATTTATTATTTATTTTTGTATTAATTACATATTAGGAATTAAAAATTCAGATTAAATACTTTTTTTAATTTAAATCCTACAATTAATACGCTTATATATCTCTCTCTCTTTCTTTTCCAGAAACCTCTTCACTCCGACCGCCAAACTTTCTCCGGCCGACGACTTTTTTCCGGTGAAATAATCCAATCAGATTCGATCCAACCATCTACAAAAAATCCACTCCGTTAGTGCGCTAGTGGTACTGATTTTCATCTAGTGGTACGCTACCAGTAGTAGTGGTACGTACTAGCGGTAGTGGTACGCAACAAATACCACAGGTATCGCTACCATTGAGTAGTGGTACACCACTAAAACTGGTACCTCTACCAGTGAATAGTGGTACGATACCACTACCACTGGTAACGTACCACTAGACAGAAATCAGTACCACTACTCACTAGTACCGCTACCACTGAGTACTAGTACGCTACCACTGTCAGCGTACCACTAGACAGAAATCAGTACCACTAGAGAATAACATAAAAAAACAACATCTGGAATCTGGAAAATCCTAGATCTGGAAAAAAAAATAAGGAATGAGGAAAGGAGAAGGAAGGGGAGAGGTCGTTACCTAGCGTCGCCGGTAGAGGAGGACGGCGGGAGAGAGATGGCGGTGACAGGAGTTGGAGGGAGGTGAGAGGGCTACGACAGGGAGAGCGTTATGGCGCGACAGTGGTGGGAGACGGAGGACACGACGACTGCGGCGGAAGGGAGATAGTGGCAGCGGGAGGGAGAGATGCGACAGTGGCGACGGGAGGGAGAGACGACGGTGGCGACGGGAGGGGGCGGCGGCGGCGGCGATGGGAGGGAGAGACGGAGAGTAGTTAGGGTTCTCGGGAGAGGGAAGAGAGGAAGAGTTTTTTTTTAGGAAATTAGATTATATAGAAAATGAGAAAGGATCATGTGTAGCAAGTTTTTTACTTCCAAAAATATCGTTCATTTAATCTAAACTGTTAATTTGAAAAATCAAGAGAGAGTGTGGATCTAATGGCTGCGAAGGAGGAAGCGAAAATCACAACCCCTATGGGATTCTGACGCTATCTAAGCCCGAAACCTCCCACTACCTTCTACCTCAATCCACTATAACTCTAAATAGAATTACAATTTGCCGCCAGCCAAGTAAACGATGAATACATCTGGAAGTTCAAAATAATTTTTTTCTGTTTTATTTATTTATTCAATTTATTGTGAAAATGAGTTGAAAATTGTAAAATATTAAATTTGATTGATTTACTATAGACCTCTCCTTCAATCTCGTTTTCCTTAAATTTAAGCATTCATATAATCTCATTGCGCTCGAAGATTATACATCACAGACAGAGGATCAACAGCCCACTATGGGCGTATCTTGGATCATCTAAAAATCGCATCAATTTCCAGAAAATTTTCCTCAACTGAAGTGGGATGGGGCCAGAAGCCAAAGAACTAGAACCAAAACCAAAACCACCCAATTACGCAAAATTATCAACCACCATGAAAATCACATATATACAATCCTCACATGGACGACAATGGTGGAAAATTCAGACAGTTGGGGAAGGAAAATGAACAAAAACCACTAGGGGAGAGCTTGAAGATGCCCACATGGAAGCCTTGCATCTACTGTTGGAACATTTGGCAGCTACTAGCACTGCAAAGTGATACTGTGTCTCAACAGCTTCGCTATTGCTGCCCCAATCTCTCCTGTAAAAAAACATGGGTATACAATATTAAGCCCCACAGTAGCATGTATAGCCAATAACACAAATTTTTGAGAGCTAGAGATTCAAGCTAAGCATAAGAGACAGTTGTGGCACAAAAATACAAATCTTGTAAGATACAGTTGTAGTGGTGACCTGAAGCATCTGCATCAATTTTGGGTGTTGCTCCAACAGCCGGCACAGCTCCTCCTTGTTACTCAATAGAGCCTGTTGCGAAACAAAAACGCGATTGCAGTATAAAAGAACCAATTGAGCTAAATCGCCCACTAAAGCAACGAGGATGTGTTTGTTTTGGCTAAAAATTAAGTGATTTGACTTCTAAACAAAACAGACACATTTCTTCACCCCGAAGATTCTAAAACCCCAAAACCTATAAAAATGGACACATCCTTCAATTCACAGGAATAGATTGCAAATACCGTAATTGCTTGGGGATCTCTGAAGTACTCGTGCAATGAGAGATCCCGCTGTTGCTGAGATGAAGAAGCATCTCCTTGATAACGCTGCAGGTCTTGCTCGTGAACTTGTTCAACTTGCTGCTGCTGTCTCAACTGAGGGATCTCTAGCTGTTGAGCTTGATAGTGAGCATGCATGGTAGGCATTTGAGGCTGTTGCATCATTTGTAATTGATGGACTGGAACCTGAAATGGGTTTTGCGAAGGCAGCAACCCTTGTTGTTCCTGCTGCTGCTGATGAGAAGATGGCTGTAAAGGTGGCCAGAGATGGGCCTGTGAAGGGCGTTGCAGTGGCGGCTGTAGAGGCTGCAACTGCTGCATTGACTGAGCAATGGGGATATTCTGCAGCATGTTCTGGATGTCACCACCCGGTTGCTGAGTTGCTGCTGTGTTTACATAAGCCGGCCTATTGAAGACCAATGGTTGCATCAGTGGAGGATGCAGGTATGAAGTTACACCAGCCATCATAGGGAACTCAGAATATCCCGATGACTGCGGAGTTGAAGCGGGCTTTCCGGAAGGAAAATTGTAAGGGCTAGCTGAGAAAGGCGGTGGTGGTGTGGGAGGAAGCGGTGGATGAGGTCCAGCTGACCCACTCGGTGAAGACATGTTAGAACTCCTTGAAGAGTACTTGGAATCTGGTAATGAATGAGAGGATGGTAGACGTGCAGGACTGTTTACAAAAGCAGGAGGATAATCTGATTGAGCCTGCAAACAATGTAATGACAATGAAGAACCTCAACAAATACGAATAATGAATGTTTGTTTAGCTTTTGCTTTAAAAAAATTCAGTTGAACTGATATGGTATGCAATAGTTGTAGAGTAATAAAATTGTATTTTGGTGAACCGGGGTTTGGTCCAGTGGTAATACCACTGGTCTTGATCCTGGAGATCACAGGTTTGAATCCCTTAAGTAGCACCTAACTAAAAACCAAACCTATATGGCTATATCACCCTTACCAAAACAAAAACAAAAAATAGTATTTTGATTTGATGAAAGGATAGTAGTTTGTTCAGTAATAACGAAATTAATTAATTCTGGAAATGACGATTTGCGCAAAACTTTAAGAACATACTAGCTTTAATGAATAGTAATTTTAAGAAGTTAAATTTAAGGAGAAGTGGTGGTCTCAGCAATAAAATTCACTTTTTTATGCCACTTTTTCTGAGCTCAAGCAAACACAGCCAAAGTTATACAAGAGGACTCATGAAGAGGCGTAATTCTGCACATGGAAAGAGCAGATTTGACAGCCATACCTCCGCAAAAGACTTCAAGAAGGGGGATGGCTGACTTGGGCCATGATCAAGACTCTGTGATATGATTCCAGGCGAGACAGATGATGATGGAGGCGGCATTGGAGGCAAAGGCGGTTGATGCATACCAATCCTATGCTCATAACCTCCTCGAGATCCTGTTGCACTGCGAGGGCTGTTCTTCATATAGACATTTGGAGGAGTTGTTCTAAAATCCATTGGTACATGCAAAGTAGAAGAACCTGGCCCACTATCGCAGAAAGATCCACCACCAGCAACAGAATCAATACCCACAGATGTTTTGCCCTGAAACGGGCTCTTCAAATCATCAGATTGCTCATAAAACTTCTTATCTGAAGTAACACTTTGTTCTCGAGTTAGTGGCATTTCAGGTCTAGTGGCAGCCGACATCCGTGAAGAGAACTCGCTCTGTGCATTTTCCTCGGCATTGGATGATGCCAGTAGAGTATCACTCTGTGTCTCCTCAACAATTGACTGAGGAGAGCTTTGTTCAAGTATGACAACAGGATCGGGTTGCTGAAGATTCTCATCTGGCTGAGGAAATAGCAACTTGTCATCAGTCTCAGACTCTTCGGCATCAAACACTATATCTATACCATGGAGATCATCGTCTATATCTGTTTTTAGCTGCTTAGACTTGTTTGCTTTCTCCTTATCAACATCATTATTGACCACAGCAGCAGCCGATTTCACTTGTGATGGTGATGGCTCTCCTACTACAGAAGCAACCATAGGATTCTGTCTCTCTCTTTCTCTAGCCATGAACTCATCCACATGAATTGAAGGAGGTCTTCCACCGCCAGACCCTAATCGTTGAACAGCAATAACATTGGAATTATTCCCCACGGTGTCGACACTTCTCTCTCTAGCAACATAGTCATCCACATGCATGGATGGAGGCCTGCTAGTGTTTGGTTTTCTCTGTCTGAAGGTGTCCCTGCGGATGGGACCAGTGGAGGCGGTAGATGGGCCCATCCCCCGAGCAAATGAATTCTGTCCTGTTATTTCGACCACCGAACTTTCACCCTTCACTCGCTTGCCAGAACTGTCCACAGATGATAATTTCCGTTTCGCAGGAAGGTTTTGTGATAATCTGTCAGGCATCGTCTCTGGACATTCCCATACAAACTTGTCTCCAAGACCCCCAAGCTGAAGACA